TGTGTTTTGGTGCCACAGTAATTAAATATGTGAGAATACACAATTGCAGGCCATATTTGATAGGTATGATAGAGACAGAAGTGGGAAAATTGATTCGATGGAACTTAGGGATGCTCTCTATAGCCTTGGATATGCACTTCCACCTTCTGTCCTTCAAGTTCTTCTTTCCAAATACGATGATAGAAGTGGCAGGAAGGTTGAACTCAACTTCGACAGTTTTGTTGAGTAAGGCTTAAACTCCAGCAAGTTCATTCTTATCCTTTCATTGATACGTTGAGTTTTGTGTTGTGATTATAAAACTGACATTCTATTCTGTTTGCCATGCAGATGTGGGATGATTGTGAAGGTGAGACTCCATGGTTCTATTCTATATATGACTTATAACCCTTTCAGCCTTTCTATTCATCTGGGAATCTCTTTGTTACTACTAGCTAGTTTTCCTTCCAAGTTAATACTTCTTCAAATGCAATGGTTTGTTTATGCAACTGATTGATCATATATGAACTTTTCAGGGCTTAACTGAGAAATTTAAGGAGAAGGATACACGGTACACCGGCTCTGCAACATTTACTTACGACACCTTCATGACCATGGTTCTTCCATTCCTTGTTTCATACGACTGATGACTTCTGCTCTATAATTTTTGTATAAGACATTGAGGTGCTTGAAATCTGATTCTTTGATTTAAGCTAGAAATTCTTCTGTTCAGCAGCGGTAAATCTCTTTTCTGATTTTTGAAGATATCTTCTGTGAATAATCCAAAAAATGGATGGAGAACAGAAGGAATGATAATTGCATAGTCATGAAGAAAATTAGAAAAAGAACATCAATAGAAATATTCTAAATTAGGCCAAAACAACATAAGTTCTTTATTATGAATATAACACTAAAAAACAGCTATGTGTCTGCAACAATGATAAACAACTAAGAAAGTAAAACGATAAACTATTGAGTCAAATACAACAGATAAAAAAAAAAAAATACTGTGTATGCTAAACAATACTCCTAAAGCCTTGCAAACTCTTTATATATTCAATATATTGTTTCATATATTTATTAATATTTTTTTTTCTACCATAAACACTTTAAACCTAATCTTATATTGAATGCTTAGGTCAAGGGAAATGGATTAAACTTTCGTCCATTCCCCTTAACCCAAATATAGCATTAGTGCATTAGTGAATTGTCTTGAGGATGATATTATACATGATCTTCTCCTCGTCTTCTGAAATCAACCTTTCACATGCAGCCTTCCAAGAGAGAAATTAGAGCTACCCTGAATATTGCATCCCTGCATAAACATGTAGCGATAGCGATTAATTAAATTTAGTTGCAAAAAAAAAAAAAAAAAACTTAGGCTCTTTTTTTTTTTGTTTTTTTTAGCCCAGAATTGGCTGGTCAAATGGGGTATGTGGTTTTGAAAACCGGACCGGACCGGCCGGTCGAACCGGTACCCGGTGGTATAAATGGTTCGGTCTTATCTTTTAAACCGTTTGAAGATCAAATCGTTTGAAAACCGGTAAGAACCGTTGGAACCGCTCAAACCAGAAAACCGTTTGACCGGACGGTTGAATGCTTGAGAAATTTGTCCCCCACGAAGCTTGAACTTGCAACCTTGAAATCCTCTTAGTTTATTCCAACCCTTTGCCACTAGGACAATGCACTCCGTTTGTTCATGGATGCTTGAAATTTTATTTAGTCTATTTTTAAAACCATAATTATTTAAAGTTTGTTCATAAGAGACTCGAACCTGTGATCTTTGGTATGAGAAAACAACCGCCTACCATCGCACTCAATGGATATCTTGTGAAATACTTTACAAAATAATATATTTATACTATATCAGAACCGGTGGTTTTACCGGTTAAACCGGTTAAACCGGTCCAACCGTGAACCAGAGGTCAAAACTGTTCAACCTCCGGTTCGGGTTTAAAAACATTGTCTAGGTGCCAATCTTATCTACATTTCTGGTATAAGAAAGTTGCATGCCACCAGACTCCATTTAATTGCGTTGAATGTCAAACTTAAATTAATATTTGGCCTAAAAACACTAATTAGTCTCAGCTTTCACATTTAATTTATAGAGATTTTTCTTCCTTCCTCCTTCCCCAGTGAAAAATGCAGCAGATTGATCTCATTATTTGACATTCAAAGGTGATGAATCTGCCGAAGATATTTTGCAGATAAATTGACCCTGAAATTGGTATGGTGCTTGAAAATGACAAATTTGGAACAGGTGATGCAACAAATTCTCTTTTGGGTGAAGAAGAAAAATAATGGAAACAAATATTAGTCGGTTTTGGTTTTGCAAAGAAAACAAGAAATAAATAAATAAATATATATGTATGTATGAAAGAGAAATTTATTCTCATACAAATCTTACATTTTTACATAATGTATTTATATAAAATTTTAATTTTTTATCTCTTTATTTTAAATAGTTAAAATTTATTATTACTTTTAATAAATATAAATAAATCTTTACCATTAAAAATTAAAAAATAAATAGTTAAAATTTTATGTAATATAATGAGTAAAACTTATATATAAATAAATCTCTATCCTCTCTCTATATATTTATATATATATATATATATGGGATTAAGTGTGGGTGCCGTAGGGACTCTAAAAGCTTCCTTCCCTGATAGAAGCCAAGTTGGACTTTTGTATATGAGCAGACATGAAGAATTTCGACACAGAAAGATTCACCCAAGTGGAGATAGGGTGGATGGATCCGTCACCATATCTTTCGCATTCACATTAAAGAATAAAAAAACCTAATCAAATGTGATCATAAATTGGAATTTAAAACAGCAGCCAGAAGAACCAGCTGTTGTAAGGGACTGGACAACCACCGAAAGAGGTGTGAACCCTACCATCTTATGTCTGAATGGCTAATTGTTTAATTGTGACTTGTGAGACAAGAGCAAGACAAGGGTCCAACAACAAAAATGTTATTCTCCTTTTCTCTTTCTACTTTTCCTAGAACTAAACCAAATCTCAATTATGCTATATGTGTGGCAAAAGAGATTTGGCTTTTGTATGGTGGAAATTATATAAACAATAGAAAGATTACGAGTATGGGGTTTGAATATCTCACCTAAAAAGTCGTATGGCATTTGATCATCTCTTGAAATTCTGCTTTTCTCATGATCCTTTCCTCTCCCTTAATTAGAAATCTAAGTTGATGTTCTTAAGTGCAGATTAATCCTGCTGTGACCGAAATCAGAAGACTGAAGACAGATAATACCTGCAAAATAATCACAAGATTACAGAGATATCATTAGATGTATCATCACAAATACTCATGATCTATATATCAAGTATTCAAGTCATGAAAGTAAGAAATTAAAGATAGTATGTTGATGGTACATTTCTTACCCTTATTTGGGTTGCTGATGAATATTTCATCTCTGGAAGATGATCAATTAATCCAATGTTGTAAACTGGAGTACCATTAGGGTAGTAGAGTCCATAGTTCCTCTCTGATGTAGGTCCAGGCTTTAAATTCTCGTTAAAGAGTGCAAAAACATATATATCAATAGGGACATCTGGTTTGGCTGGTGTCCCTTGCTTCTCTTCTATTCTTTGCAATAGATTACCATTGTATGATCCTGCATTTTCTGGTGTAGCTCCTACTTCATTTTCATCCCCTTTGGATGGCCAACCTGTCTCGGAAATCCTAACTTCAATGTCAGTATATCCCAATGCTTTGATGGCAGAATAGACAGCATCAACTTGAGCATACAACATGTTATCATATTTTAAATTCGTTTTGGGATCCACCGTCCCTTGGTTAGGTTGGAAAAGCACATACTCTAGAGGCACCCCATTCGGGTTATCCTTATATGCGAAATAGGGATATGCATTGATCAAGAAGGGTGAATTGATCTGAGAATGGAAATTCAGAAGGGGTTGTATATACTGAGCAAGGTCTGGCTTGAAAGCTCCTGATGAGGGAGGATAAGAGGTAGCTAAAATGTCAAGAGAATAGGCAGTCGTGACAGTTACTTGCTTCTCAAGTCCCAAATTGACAAGAGAAAGATGAACGGTTTGCATTGCTGGGAGGAGATTAGACCATAGCTGAGTATCATTGCTTTTGAAGACCTCATTTCCTACTAGTATGCTACTGATACTTGTTTGAGAAATGTAAGGCTGAACTCGCTCTTGAATCCAATTCTTAGCCTTGGTAGAATCTGCCATGTTCTCTAGGTCCTCATTCCCAAGACCAATGATGAAATCAACGCTAGAATTGGAGAAGGCAACAAGGACTTTAGGATCAGCATCATAGAGTTTAACTCTGCTGATATTAAGGGTTCCGAGGAGAACAGCGACCTGGGATGGAGATGGAAGATTGTTTGCTATCTGACCATAGTTGATTCCAATTCCCAGACCTTGAATTTGGCCTAGTGAATCTGAAAATCCAAAGCAAAATATAATAAAATTGAAAAAACAAGAAAGAAAATAAATGGATATAAGAGATGAGTGATCAGTATCAAACTTGATAACAGATCAGTATTCCAGAATGCAGAAAAAGTTGGAAGATTTAAAGTTTCAACCAAAAATCTAATCTTTTTATTTCAGAACATTCAACATCAACAACCAGCATCAGCCATAATGAATCTTTCAGTATGATCAGCTACCAAGAAGATCAAAAATTCATATTCATATGAATTCATGAGAAATTTCAACAGACAACTGGTGAGCAAAAGACGAAAACTTTAAAATGCACTAGAATCAGTTATCTTTATACCCATAAAAAAAGCAAAAGAAAAGGCAGTTTCTTTAGCAACCAAATAGAAAGAGAAAATCTAAGAGAACTTTCAGAAAGAAGTTATGTTTTCTCTGGGGGCCAATTTAGTTCCTTTGCAACCAAACAGAAACAGCAAGAAGAAGAAGAAATGAAGAAACCTGAAAGAGTAAGGAGAACCAAGAGCAGTCTGAAGAGAACAGAGGTGGTGGTGGCCATAAGTACTGATCCGATCTTCGCTCAACTCCAGACCCAACAAGGCAAAATGCAGAGAAGCCCCTC